TGAGGTGCCTCTCCCCCCCCCCGCTGCTCCAACGGAGAAGTGTTGTCTGCACATGCACAGATAGTGCTCCTCTGTTGTAAGGGATTTATGCTTCTCCTCCATCCCCTCCCCCCCTTTTCAGATTTTTCTGCAAACTTAGGGAGTTCCCAAAGTTTATAAAAACATCTTTCTTGTGCAAAAATGGGCCTGATCCGCAGATTTAAGGATCCACAGATCTGGCCGAGTTGGCTGTTAGAATGTAAGATACGCTTTGGGAAAGAAGGAAGTGGGCTCCAGGAAACGTATTGGCAGGCACTGTGGTGCCCCGTGAGCACCATGTTGGGAATCAGTGCTCTAGGTTGTCTTCACTGGCATCAGTGGGAGTTGCAGCATTGTCTCCAGCCCCACACCCCCCCCCAGTATGACCTGAGACTGTTCATATTACTCTTGTGCTGCAGGAAGGAGTGTGGATGTGGCTTAAACCTTTTTTCTTTTTTTAATTAACAGAAACCTCTATATTTAAAAAATGACTTGTGTTTATTGACTTTGATCTGAAAATATGTCCGAATGTGGAAAGTACCAGAGAAAGAGGACCACTTTCCTTTTGTTTTGCTCTGTGCCTTGCTAGGGACCTGAGTGTCTCATTGAACACATTTGGGAGACATCTGATTATGTTTGGTCTTTCATATTCACAAACAGAGAGATCCATTCCCCCCCCTCCTTCTTTGTCCTAGCAGCCATTGGTTCAACACCACCACCCCCTGTCTACTCCAAACAGTCTTCAGCACATCCTGTGTTCCATTTTAAGACTGCAACTTTAGGCTTGGGGCTTTGCCCGTGTGCCCTGAAAGAGCTCATATTCTTTCACCCCCTCCCCTTTCTTTAGCTGAACATCCAGGCTGCTGAAGAGTTCTCAAGAGCTTGAGAGCTTGTGCACACAGAGGTTGGTTTTTTTGGGGTGTGTGTGTTTTGGTTAGTTCTAATACAAGGCATTATACAGCTTCTGTTCTTTAGAATATGTCTGCAGACCACCATTGCTGTTTGTAACCTTTTGATTCCTTTTTTCTTTCATTAGAAACTTCCCAAGGTTAATAAAGAGCTGGCATTGAAACTTATTGAGGAAGGAGAAGAAAATCTGCAAAATGAGAGGAAAAGAAAGCAAAAGGTAGGGTTCCTGTCTCTGCACTTACTTTTATCCGTAGTAAAACTGAGCAGTGTTGGAGATTCTTAGAAGTGCTAAATGGACCAGTCCTACAGCTTGAGGGCATTACTTGGCATACGGAGAAGACCGGTGTTAGAGCAGCTAAGGTCCGAAGTTCTATTCCTGGCATCTTCCAATAAAAGGATCTTGGGTAGCAGGACTGGGAAAAAACCCTGCTTAAGACATTGAAGAGGCATTGTCTGCCAATCCATGGGAAAGGCTAACAGTTGCAGTCCTAAGCAGTGTTCCCTCTAAGCTGAGTTAGTGTGAGCTAGCTCATACTTTTTTAGCCTCCGGCTCACACATTTTTGTCTTAGCTCAGGAAGGATGGCTTCAGAGCAAACTGATTTATGCAGTAGCCAAATCGCTTGCTCACAGCTGTAATGCCAGTACCTCACAAAGTAGAATTTTTGCTCACAAGACTCCACAGCTTAAAGGGAGCACTGGTCCTAAACAGAGTTATACACTTCTAAGTCCATTTAAGTCAAGGGTATAACTCTGCTTAGGACTGAACACTGTATATGGGCTAGCAATAAATGTTCGTTGAGTATCTGGTTTTTGTTAAATCATGTCCTAGATGCCAAGCATCTTGAAAAAAAATCTCTGTTTTCCTCCCTACCCCCTGTGGTTGAATAAATTAATTAAGCTTTACCATTATGACAGTTGTTCATCTTTCCATATTAACCACAGATGGATGCCTGTGATTTCGTCAGTTACTGGCTAGTGGCTGACTGATTTATGCAGTAGCCAAATCACTTGCTCACGGCTGTAATGCCAGCACCTCACAAAGTAGAATTTTTGCTCACAAGACTCCACAGCTTAGAGGGAGCACTGGTCCTAAACAGAGTTATACACTTCTAAGTCCATTGAAGTCAAGGGTATAACTCTGTTTAGGATTGAACACTATATATGGGCTAGCAATAAATGTCCATTGAGTATCTGGGTTTTGTTAAATCATGTCCTAGATGCCAAGCATCTTGAAAAAAAATCTCTGTTTTCCTCCCTACCCCCTGTGGTTGAATAAATTAATTAAGCTTTACCATTATGACAGTTGTTCATCTTTCCATATTAACCACAGATGGATGCCTGTGATTTCGTCAGTTACTGGCTAGTGGCTGCTAAGATTCTTGCTGCTATCAGCAAACTCTGTACAAGTTCTCATTGGTTT